TACAGACCTCTTAGGAATGGGGTGAGGTCGACAGAGGTTAGTTTGAGGGTAAAAGAGTGGGGTTTGAGCATGTGACAACAGAATCAGGTAGTGAGTTCCAGACGTTGACCATTCTGTTGCTGAAATCGTACTTAATGCAATCAAGTTTGTTTACTATTCCTTGTCACTTGAGTTTATTTTGAGAGATAATGGCTACATTCACAAAGCACACTAAACCAAGAGGACTCAATCATATTTTAGTCTAACATGTTGAATTAAAAAGTTCATGTGGTCCCATTGTGTTATGTAAAGCAAAAACTTGGAATTAACTGAATAGACCATTGTTTTAAAAAAAACACCCATTGGTGTATTAGTCAAATATGGCCTATAGCCTAAACTACTTTCATTACTTTAAAAGTCACCACTAGCCCAATTTTCTATTATTCTAAAAGATGGGATAATTCATACTAAACAGATCTATAAATATTTTATATGAATATATTTTATTTTTAGATTGGATTACAAAATCAAATATATGTGTGAAAAACATTCATGAACTAGTGCAGAGAAGAGCAATAAAGATGATTAGGGGGCTGGATACTAAAACTTATAATGAAGGGCTGCATGAATTGGGTATGTCTAGTCTAGTGAAAAGGAGATCAAGGGGTGACCAGTAGCAGTGTTTCAGGGACAGCCACAAAGAAGAGGGAATCAGCCTATTCTTTAAAGCACCAGAAGGCAGGACAGGAAGCAATGGGTGGAAACTAATTGAGGAGAGAAACAACTAGAATAAAAACTTCCCTGACAATGAGAACAATTAACCAGTAAATGGCTTCTCTCCAGAAATTGTGGGTGCTCCATCACTGGAGGTTTTTAAGATGAGGTTAAACAGCCATTTATCCAAAATAGTATAGGGTTTCCTGCTTGTGCACTAGAACAGGGGTCCCCAACCGCCGGTCCGCGGACCGGTACCGGGCCGCAGAACAAGTCTTACTGGGCCGCTGGTTGCTGGGCGCCGCCATCTTTTTTTGGTAAAAAAAGCAATTTTTCATCAAAAAAGATGGCGGCGCCCAGCTGACGCCGGAACCGGGCCGCGGCGCCCAGCTGACGCTGGAACCGGGCCGCGGCGTCGAAAAGGTTGGGGATCCCTGCACTAGAAGACCTCCAAGGTCCCTTCCAACTCAGTTATTCTGTTATAACTACATAGAAATAAATATGGAGTCTCTTTCCAGACAAGCATGTGTGTGTGTGTGTGTGTTTAAACACACACACACACACACACACACACACATATTTATTCATAACAATTGTCTGCTACATATAAATCAATAATAGGAAACAAGGTCCACTTCTTAGCTCCTATAAGACCTTGAGAATAAAGCCAGGAATATCCAACTATTTTGGCAAGTGAGCATATCTGTAATCTTATTGAAATGGGGAAAGGAATGTTTTACCATCCACAAAGTATTTGTTGTTACAAACTGTTCAGATGGCCAAGCACAAAACTCACAAAGTCATTGGATTATTCAAGTAGAAAATGAAATACAGAAGATACACCAATAATTGTCTATCACAGTGGCCATTCCAAAAGAATTGTTTAGCTTGATATTAATATTCCTTTGCAAGTGAATTGATTAAACATTTAATATTATAAAAATATTCTTATAATCCACTTGCAATTAAATAGGAATAGTATTGCAGTTTGGGAGCACAGGAGTAAAGAGAAGGGCACATTCTTATTTTCTATTAAACAGGAATCTAGGAAAATAGAAAAGCATGTTGCAACTGGAGAAAGGAAATCCATATGGATGTTTGTTTGTATGCATGTATGGGGGCGTGGTGGCTGAGCAGTTAATATGCTGGGCTTGTGGACTGGATGGTTGGCAATTTGAGACCAAATACCGTGTGATGAGAGACGTGGTGGTTCAGTGGCTAAGACACTGAGCTTGTTAATCAGAAAGGTCAGCGGTTTGACAGTTCGAATCCCTAGTACCGTGTAACAGAGTGAACTCCCATTACTTGTTCCAGCTTCTGTCAACCTAGCAGTTCAAAAGCATGTAAAAATGCAAGTGGAAAAATAGGGACCACTTTGGTGGGAAGGTAACAGCATTCTGTGAGACATCTTCAAACAGCACTGGCTCTTTGGCTTTGTAACAGAGATAAGCACTGCCCCTTAGAGCCGGAAACAACTAGCACATATGTGCAAGGGAAACCTTTACCTTTACTGTGTGATGAAGTGAGCTTCCATTACTGACCCTGGGTCCTGCCAAACTAGCAATTCGAAAGAACGTAAATGCAAATAGATAAATAGGTACAACTTTGTTGGAAGGTAACAGTGTTCCATGTACTTTTGTCATATAGTTATGTCAGGCACATGACCACAAAAGCATCTTCAGACAACATCTGAATCATCATACTTTCAGGCTGTGAGTTGTGGATGAGCATTTCCTCACCCAAGAATCAGACACGATTCTCAGGGGAAACTTTACAGCCATGAGTTCTATGGTTTTACCTATCAGGACCTAGTAAAAATCATCTAATCCTTAGCAGTTATTAATAGTAGGTATACTGTATACAACCTCAGATGGACATCATTTGACATATTACATCATGTCATCATTATTTTATAAAAAGAAAGTCAAAATGGAGAAGCCATGTATGAAAAATGAAGTATACCTTATGATTCAATAACTTGTAGAACCACCTTTACCAGCAATAATTTGAAGTAATTATTTTATGTTCTATTTTATTAGCCTTTCACATTGCTGTGTAAGAATTGGGCCCACTTTTGTTTATAACATTCAGTTCACTGAAATTTGTGATTTGTTTATGCAAGACTCTCCTGAGGTCCTGCCACAGCATATCAATCAGGTTGAGGTCAGAACTTCAATTGAGTCATTGCAACATCTTCATTTATTTTTCAGCCATTCGGTTGAACAGATGGTCTTACATTTGACTCTAGAATACTTTGGTATACAGAGTAGTTCATGACAGCAAGATGCCCAGGTCCTGTGGCTGCAAAACAAGCCCAAATCATCACCCCCTCCACCATCAGTTTGAAAGTTGGTATGAAATCTTTGTGCTGATATGCCGTGTTTGCTTTTTGTCAAATGTGGCACTGTGCATTATGGCCAAACATCTCCACTTTGGTCTCATCTATCCAAAGGACAGTTGTTTCAGAAGTCTTGTGATTTGTTTACATGCAACTTGGCAAACGTAAGCTGTGCTGCTATGTTTTATTTATTTATTTATTTATTTATTTGATTTGTCAATTGTTTACAAGATAATAAGTACAAGTGTATACATAGTTGTGAATATATGAAATGGGTACATATAAGAAAAATAAAAGAATAAGAGAAACAATAGGACAGGGACGGTAGGCACGTTGGTGCGCTTATGCACGCCCCCTTTTAGAGAGAAGAGGCTTTGTCCTGGCAACCCTTCCAAACAAGGAATACTTGTCCAGTCTTTTTAAAATTGTACTACTATATCATGAACTTCAACATTTAACCTGCCAATAGAGGCCTATAGAATCTGAGATGTAACTCTTGGATTTTTTTGCAATTTCTTTGAACTGTGCACTGTCTGACCTTGGGGTAGATTTGCTGGGAGGTACACTGTCTTGTGGCAACTGTGTTAAATGTTTTCCACTTGTGAATTATCTTCTTCACTGTAGAATGATGGGCTTTATATTGTTTGGAAATGGTTTTATAACCCTTCCCAAATTGATGGGCAGCAACAATTGCTTAAGATCATAGGTAACATCTTTACTGTTCACCATTGTGTTAATACATATCTCAATACTGGGGACAAGTATACTCCTAAAACTTCAGCTTTTATAGAGGTAGTTACACTTGCTGATTAATCAAGGCACTTGATTAGCAGCAGTTGGCTGCTACTTAGCCTCTTCATATATATAAAACCAGTAAGTGTGTACTTAGTTTTTCACACATAGCTTCTGCATATTGGCTTTCTTTTTGTAAAATAAATGATGTCATGGTGTAATATGTCAGGTGATGGTCAACTGAGGTTGCATTTATCTATTTTTAAGAATAGGCAAGGACAAAATGATTTTTACTATGTCCTGATTTGTAAAACTATATAACTCAGATGTTTCTTTTTTCACATATCTTTACATATATATGTACATGAATCTGTATATGTTTGTATGCAGTGCACACACACACACACAAAACCTATTTGTGATGGGTAACACTATCTTTAAATAAATACTTATTAACAATTAATCAATGCCTCCAGAAGTTGTGAATGCTTCAACACTGGAAGTTTTTAAGAAGAGATTGGATAACCATTTGTCTGGAATGGTATAGGGTTGAGCAAGGGGTTGGGACTAGAGGACCTCCAACGTCCCTTCCAACTTTGTATCCTTACCCCTATCCTTTCTCAGAAGTGGCAAATAAGGTCTTCTAAGCATAGGATTTCCCTCCCTGAATACAGAGTTGCTCATCACACATACACACAGTGATAATAGTTAGATAAGGCAGAGATTGCAACTTAAATATAAACAAGTTTAAGATAATAACAAACATCAAAATATCTGAATCAGGGAATGGCAGATTTTTAAAATATACTTGGGAGGAAGTACAAAATGTTTACTGTTACTAATGTCTGCTTTAAACTACATTCCACCTTCCCCACCATACGCAAGACAAGAAGATAAGGGCATAATATTGTTCCACATATGCCATTCTCTCCAACCAGGCACTCTTCAATGCTACCGCTCTATATTTGGATATAGCATAACTCTCATCATCTCCAGACATTAAAGTGGAATGTAATAGGAGTTGTACAAGATCGTTTCTGGAGGTTTCCTGAACTTACGTCACAGACATATATTTCTTCTAATCGGCGATAACGCCTCTCTGCTTAATGCCCATTGCTCAACGCCGCACCCTTTCCCCCCTCTCTCAAATGAGGGAGTGAAAAAGGCAGGGCTTCGAATTCTTTCTCTTGATTTGCCAATCAGACAATCTGTCAGGGAGAGGAAATAGAAATACGGAGATTCTGAGGAAGCGGAAGAAGCTGAAAAGGAGGCGAGGGCGGAAGTGGCGGCGTTTTAGGTTTGGAATTGGAGAAAACGGGATTCTGTTAGACGGGCAGGCGGTGGACTGTTTTCCGCGGCGGTCCCGCAGGCGGGAGCGGGTAAGTGTACGGTTTTATTCGGGGAAAACGAAAATCAATGTCTAAAACTTTCCTTCCAGTTTTAAATTATTGTGGGAGTCCTTTAATTTTTCCTCCGTCACACGTAAGAGTGGCTTTGGAAATGTGGTTTCTTACCCTGGCAAGCCAAATTAAACTTCCATGTTCTGGGACAGTATATCTGTCACTACCTGTGGCTGGTAAACGAGTACTATATGCGAGAAATTCTTGGCTTTCTGGAGGCAATTAGATCACATGGTTGGAACTAGAGTGGCGTCTGCTTTGGTTACAAAAGGCTGCGCTGGGTTTGGGACTTGTTGACAAGGGTGGTTTGCTTTGAAGATTATTGCGAACTGGGACCGAGTCCTTGACCCTGAGAACTAAACAACATAATCGCTGATATTTAAACAAAGCCATGGCGATAACAAGAGATGGTGCTTATTGTGGTGGGTGTGACATTCCTCAATGCTCCCTTCCTTTTTCCCTTTTAATATGACTTTTTAATATTTGATGTAGTTACCTGAAATTTAGTCTATAGAAATTCTCAGACATCCAGGTCATCGTTGTCCCAAAGATGTTTTTTTCCCCCTCAGGAGGCAACTGGACTTCGTTTTTCTTTCGAAGATGTTATACTTCTCATCCAAGAAGCTTCTTCAGCTCTGACAGAATAGTGGGGAATGGAAGGATTTATATTCCTTGCAGATAGCTGGTCATTTGCATCCTTTTACAGAGTCCTTGAACACTTGGAGGTTTATTTGTGCCCTTAGGGTCACAGAGTAGTGTTCCTGGTTCCTGTAGTCTGCAATTTTTCTCTAGAAATCTATTCTTACTCTCACAACATTCAAGGGTGTTAATCCCAAATTGTATAGCTAAAAGTCTCTAGAAATTCTCAGTCATCCAGGCATGGTTGTCCCAAAAGTGCTCCCCCCCCCCTTCAAGAGGCAACTGGACCTTTTTGTTTTTTCCTTTTGAAGATGTTTTACTTCTCATCCTAGAAGCTTCTTCAGCTCTGACAATTCCCCACTATCTGTCAGAGCTGAAGAAGCTTCTTGGATGAGAAGCGAAACATCTTCAAAAGAAAAAATGAAGTCCAGTTGCCTCCTGGGGGGGGGGGGGAAAGCACCTTTGGGACTTCTGAAATTTAGGTACAGCATTCATACATGCAATCATTTTGATATGTTTTATGCCATATATTGAATAAAGGTGTCAGATTTGTATAACATTATCTAGCTCTTATCATTCTGATCTTCTTGGGCTGTTTGTATATGTATCTTGAGGTTGGTATATGGTTTCCATCTATCTTTTATATATATTGGTGCCTTCTAGTGATTATTGATTCCTGGCAACTGCTAGTAATACTTGCTATATAAAATATTCTAGTTATGCCAGATGCCTTGGGACAGTGTGAAAAATCCTAGCATTGCCTCTGATAGTATCCAATTTTGAGTTCCTTCAAAATGGTTTCCTCAGTCTCAAAATGTAATTTGGCCATAATGATTGTGGATGATGGGGACTGTAAAAGAGCTATAGATAAGAGGTTGGGAAAAGCTCCTACAAAAAATGATCTTGGTATGAGCAAAATAAAATGTTCATTTTATTAGTCATATTTGTTACATTATGTCAAGTCTGCAACCTATCCTTCTTTAAACATATTAAACGGTTATTTCAGGAACCCTGTGTTATAAAGCTTACATATTTCCCTCATGGGATAAATGCATGTACTGGTTGCAGGTTGCAAATCTGGTGGTGGAACCTTTTCAGGTAACATTAAGTGTTTAGTTATTTTCATACATAATTAACTTATTAGAGTCATGTAATTGTATCTTAAATCTTAATGTTTCTTGCTGAAAACTTGACTTTTAACAGCTGAACTTCCGTAGTAATTAAGCCATTTTTCCTGATACTCAGATTTCTTTATTTGTGGCTTATTACACTGTTTCTATTTCAATTCTAAACTATTATCTTGAAAAAGATACTATAAACTGTAAAATGCTAAATTTTTAATCTAAAACTCAGTTCAGTATATTATAATATTAATCAAAGCTTGTAATACAACTTTTTTTTCAAACTTTCAACTCTGCCTGGTTAATCAATATTAGCCGTTTTAGGCTGCTTCAGACAGCTGAAAGGGGTTAAGGAATTAGCTTGATTATGGCCAATTTCTGGCCTTATGGTAAAAATAATGCTTCATTTGTTGTTCATGTATCTTGGTAACCACCCCAAACTGGTCTTTGGGTGATGTTCAAGGTGTATTAAAATAAAATAAAAAACTATTTAACAGTCATTTAATTTTTGCACTTTTCTAACTTGCAAAATCCTTTTCATTTTCTGTTTGCAGCTGCAATTTTTTTCTGAAGTGAAGAACAACAGTATTCATTTTAATAACTGACTTGCTCAAGGATTTCTCAGCAGATGATTCAAACTGGCTGTTTGAATTTTAATACTTCAGCTGCTATAAAAAAAAACCTGGTTCTTTCTCTGGCTGAAATATTTCTTTCTTTCAGTTGCAGCATTGTTTGCTGACAGTCTCACCTTTCTATTGGAACTTGTGCCATTGTTGTAGGCCATGGCAGGTCGACGTCCTAATGGGCCAACTCTAGGCAAGATCTCTCAGTTTAAATTGGTGCTCTTGGGAGAATCAGCTGTTGGGAAGTCAAGCCTTGTCTTGCGCTTTGTAAAAGGACAGTTTCATGAGTATCAGGAGAGTACAATCGGAGGTAAGTGTCACAATCATGGATAAAGCTGTTCAGAATCTCTTTGGAAATTAGTCTTGTAGTGAACAAGTGTTTGTCATTAAGGAGTTGTTTCCAGGAAATGCTGAGATTAGAATTATTTATTGCATTTATTCCTGGCATAATCAAAGAGATTCTGGATGATTTATCACAGATAACTGTACAATGTAGTACAATAAAAACAAATATAAGCTAAATAACATCAGAAATCATGCCTAACATGTTCCAGAAGTCCCTTTGAAATTTTTTTAGCTGTAGTTCCAATTCAAGTGGAAAGAATTAAAAAAAAAAGACATAAGTACATAGCCATGCAGAAACTTTGCTTTGTTAAAGTATCATATCTGGCTCGAGGCCAATAGCTACATCATTTCTGTTCCTTTTTAAAATGTTCCTGTGACAGATGCCAGACACATTGTATACCCTGGCACTTCTATACACAAGTTTAGTAGAGCAAGCTTTTCTGGCCAGATTTGAGTCAGTCATTTTTGACTAGGTAGAAGTGAAGAATCTGAAGAGAGTAATGGTTATTTAAGAACCTATTTTCAAGTGGCTATGAATCTGCATTCTATACATATTTAGATGATGGAATTGAACTAAGGCTTGTGCCTCAAACATTACATTTGTAAATCCCTCTTGTCTTCCACAAGGAAGATGTGATTAGTTTGGCTTCAGTCATAACATCCTAAGTTAGTCTGCTTCGTGATTTGAATGAGAAAGATGAATTAAGAAAAAAATTCAGGCATAATAAAGCACTTAACAAGCGCCTCAGACAATACTTAAGTAAATCACTTCACATTGGTTTGGTAGTTCTGGACTGCCAAATACAATAAACATTGCAGTTTTTCAGACAAATACTTATATTATGGGTCTATTTGGCACTTAGGAAAAGAGTTAAAAGCTTTGGAAGCAGCCACCAGAATGCACCTTCCATTGTCAAGTTGATATGTTTAATTTATCAGTATTATTTAGAAGGCACCTATATATGATGGGACTTCATGTGAACTCAAGACCTACTTTTGCATCATTGATGTATGCCAATTACAAATCAAAACTCATGTATGAACTGATACTCAATCCAGACCTCTGTCTGTAGGAAAAGTTCCCCCACACCAAGCTGTCCCCCAAACTAACATTATAATCTTCACAGTGAAATCCAGAAATATTTTACAATTAAGCCACTTCTCTCTAATCATGGTTTCTTTCTGTGGCTTGTTGTAGGTTAATTTATTTTAACTTTACACTGTGAATTCAGTGTAGCTTTGGATAATTTTTCTCAATAAATAAGCAAATACCGTGTTTCCCCGAAAATATTATACCCTGAACATAAGCCCTAGCCTGATTTTTTTGAGTGGGCCTAATATAAGTCCTACCTACAAAATAAACCCTAGTGAAGAGGGTGGCCGTGGCAGCACAGGAGGCAGCCCACCTGCATGTACCCTCACAAACAATGATCCCTGAGGCATGGCAGTGTTTTCCCTTCCCCACGGGGGCTCACGGAGGCTCGGTTTCTTAATCGCAGCCCACAGATCAGCTGAGCCAGCAAGGGCTGGGAGCTGCCTCTCATTTTGTCTCTCCAAAAGTGATTCCAGTGCACTCTCACCATCCCTGACCCTGCCCGCAGCACCAGGCAACCTCACAGCTGAAAGTCCCTCTTTTCCACAGCTCACCTTGTGACTCTGGAGCAGGCGGTGACCACAGATTAGGCTCTGTCAGTCCTGGAGCTTGGGTTTTGCGCAGGCTGATGCTATGATGGGGCAGAAAGCTCTGCAGCACGTTGGGATCGTCTGCCCCCTCCGCCTCTTCCCAGCTGCAGCTGCTGCTGTTGGTCTCACAAGGACTCTTCTCCTGGCCGTGCTGCTGTCCGCCACCCTGCAGCTTCAGCGGGCAATAGCTCCATGATGGCCCTGCGGTGGGATGAAGCAAGAGATCACCCCTTCCTCCTCCATCCGTCTGCTCCTGCCTGGTATGGGACAATTTTGGGGGCGCAAAGGAGGAAGAGATAATCTCTCCACCATCTGCAGGGTGCCACAGAGGAACTGCCTGCTGAAGCAGTAGCTCACCTAACCCTCTTTCCGCCAGCATGTAGATATGCAGTTAGACTGAATGGGTTTGCTTCGTACTTGCAGATCACTTTCTGAAAGAGTTTTCCTCACCTTGCCTGCCCATTGTGCAGGTGCTTACGATCTTTCTCCCTCTCCCTCATCTCAAGCAAAATCAAACCGTGATGAATGAGGTGGCCAACAAGATCTGAGGAGTACCTGCAATTTTGCCCCCCTGCTCTACCCTACTCACGCAAACCAGACACCACCCCCACTCATCAGCTCCTCCAGCTCTGCATACACTCATATGGCTTCAGCATAAATCATCCCGAAGGAAAGGAGGATCGGCAGGAAAATGGGAGGGGGGGAAGCCTTTCAGTGGAACAGACGGAGGAGGGGGCCTCCTTCCTTCTTTGCCCCCCAAAAGTTGCCCCGCACCAGGCAGGAACAGCCCAGTACAGTTGCTGAAAGCAGCGTGGACAGGAGGGGAAAATCCCTGCAAGGCCAGCAACAGGTGCAGCAGGCCCAGTAGCTGGGCAAAGGTGTAGAAGGGGTGTGTGATGATCCTGATGGACTGCAAGGTTTTCTGCCTAATCCTAGCAGCAGTCTGAGCAAGACCCGAGCTCGTGTCTCAGCAGCAGCAAGGTCAGCAGGCAGGGAGGGCGGAGGCCTGGGCATGCTGAGAGATTGTTACGTTGCGGCCGCAGGCAAGTAGATGTTAGGACAGAGAGGGGGTGGCGGTAGCAGCACTCCTACTCCCATCTGCCCCCACACTCACCACCTCCTTAGGTGAAAAAAATAAGACATCCCCGAAAATAAGTCCTAGTCCTTATTTTTGAGCCCAAACGAAAATAAAACCAGATCTATTTTCAGGGAAACACGGTACTGCATAATGGTTTTTGACTCATTTGTTTAGTTGAGTTTTCTTTATTTAGTTTTAGAATTTCTGTGGAGAGCCAAGTATATTTTAGGTCACATTTATGCAGAAATATTGAACATTCAAAAGGGTGAACAAATGTTAAAACCACTGTTCTCCATTAGCAGTTACATTTTCAGTGGGATAAAATGTCTTTTACATATGTCACTGGGAAGAAAACTTCAAAATACAGCAGATGGGTAATTATTTGGTCAATGCAAGTTGTAGTTGAGAATTGGATGCTTTACAGAGGAAAAAAGTTCTTGTGTCTATGTAAAATATAGCCACCCCTGAGTGGAGCCCAGCCTTAATTCCTGTTCTGACTATTCTTTATTCCTTCTGTATTCCAGCTGCTTTCCTCACGCAGACCATTTGCTTAGATGATACAACAGTCAAGTTTGAAATCTGGGATACAGCTGGACAGGAGCGCTACCACAGCTTGGCCCCTATGTATTACCGAGGGGCACAAGCTGCCATAGTTGTTTATGACATCACTAATATGGTAAGGCTTTTATAAACTGGGTCCAAAATTATTCCACATGGGCAACAGTGGTTCTTTTTTTTGTTTGTTTCCTTCCCCTCGAGAATATGATAACCCAGGCATTTATGAATGCATCCACTGAATCACTGGCATTCTAGGAGGGAACCACTGATGCAGAATAGTTTGAATTTCTTGCTATTTCACTTTAATATAGGGCCTAGTTTTCACAGTATTACATTTCAGAGCAGTACAATTTCAGATAGTTTATTCTACACAGTTTCTATAAAATATTTAAAGATACAATGAAAGAGAAGGCAGGCAAAAGTTTTCATCTGCAGCATGAAGTAACGTAGCATTGACATTACTTTCTGGTCTCAATAAGAACTAAGCCTCAGTTAAAACTCCTTTAACCAGGTACTGAAAATAAAATAGCCACAGATGTCCTAATGTCCATAATTCTATTGAATGGTCATCTGTTGAATTACCACATTAATTTACATTGCAAATGAAAATAGCCCCAATGTCACAAAACGGCCATATCTGGAAAGATATGAGTGTTTTCACATGAGTTTGGCCATTTTTAATTTTAAAAGTTTTAAGCTTTTAGCTTTATAGAATTGGAGAATGTACATAGGTCAGTGTTGAGTTGTTAGATTTTTGGTATTCTTAGCTTCTTTGCCTGATGACATTTAATTTGCAGTCTTGGTAATACTGATGGTGCAGGAAGAGAAACAAGCTCAGAAGTATAGTTGAATGCTATTTTTTCATAGGGTGCAGCTGTTTATTCAATACATTTCTACTTCCCATTAAAAAATATCTCAAAGAGGTTTATAAGTCTCAGAACATCTAAGCTTTCCTACATAGCTGAAGTTAAAATCTACCAATTTGATATTTTGTGTTAACTTTTTCATAAACAAAATTCCAAGCACTGACATCATTTACATGTATTAAATCTTGAATTACTTCTGTGCACATACTCTTGTCTCCTTCTCTCTTCTGATCAGGAGAGAAAACAAGAATTCAGTTTATATTAATACACATGAACTAAGAATCATGGTTCACTACTGGAATAGTAAATCTGCAGCCCTTCAGATCCTGACCTGAAGGTGCTAGTATCTCTTGCCATTATACTTCAGCAACTTTTGCCCGCTTGATAGATGCGGGGAGGAAATCCACTCTGTGAGGCCCAGTTTGAAGCTGTCCCCCAGTCCAATTGTGGAGGAGCCCCACCATTGAAAAATACATCGTATGAGATATCACCTGTCTGGGAGCAGGAGGCATATGTATGTTAGAGTTCCAGGGGGTGACAATTATGGAGCTGTGCTTGCTCTTCATAGGATACCTTTGTGCGTGCCAAGAATTGGGTGAAGGAACTGCAAAGGCAAGCTAGTGCTAGCATCATCATTGCCCTGGCGGGGAACAAGGCTGACTTGGCCAGCAAACGAGCTGTTGATTTCCAAGTAGGTGAAGGTTTTTTCTACTGGAAATATTAGCTTTTCCTTCTGCAGTGTTTTTGGATGCTTTTTCTATGCAAACAATAAATATCTTAAGATAGTTTAAGAATCATAAGGTGGTTAAGTACTACTTTTGTCCAAACCCAATTGAATCCTTTTGAAATTTCACTCTTTGCATAAGGACTATTTGAGGTGCCTTATCAGGATAATTCATCATCAACATGTTTTGACTGTGGAATGATCTAATGGGTACCATAAGCTATGAATTAGGAAAGCCCTTAGTCACATTTCATTTTTGCTATGAATTTGCTACTCTGTCCTAAACAGGGCTTTTTGATAACATTTGATATATTGTTTTTAATCATGATTCTTAAAATGTGTTTTTACCAATCAACAAAGCATTTCAAAATACCAAAAAAGATAACTATTAACTAACCAAAAAGATAAGTATTAATTATAATAAAAAGATAAGTATTAATCAACTAATGGTCTTTTTAAAACAATTTGTTATCTGTAATTTACGCATTTACAATCCAAGGGTAATACTAACCTGTTTATACTTTGGACTACTGCAGCTAACTTGTGCAAAGCTGCTAGATTTAGCAATATCTTGTTTACTTATTTCACACCTTTTATTCCTTGGTTGGTACAAATTTGCATATAATCACAAATTTATTAGACTAAGCATGTACAGCTTATACCTGGAATACCTTTTGTTGTCCCTGGAATCACTTTTTGACTAACTGGTCAATATTTTCCTCCCCCGCTTTAATTTGGAAATATGATGAGATTACGATAGCAGCCCACCTTCCAGGTTTTCATCTGAAGTCAGTTTAAACCTGATTTCCTTAATCCCAGCCAATGAAATAAGACACACTATTTGAAAAAAAGCAAAGAACTGTAGATCAAGCAAAGAACAACAAATCAAAGAGCTATTTTCTCTGAAACCCTTCTGCAATAAGAATGGGGATTTTGGCCCATCTTGGCTCAAATTTCAGGGTAATTGTAATCGACTGTTGAGAACTTAAATGGAATCCTTTGCTTAATGTGTACAGTAATTATCATAGTCAATCTAATTGCAGGAATTATTAAGCATATTATATTTTAATACCTTAACATGCCTGCTCAATATTTCTATATGTTGTCTGTCCTGTAGTCCCTCTTTGGAAATGTGGGTGGCTAGATCTTTTTGGTCAAAGCTTGGTAGAGGGACTGTATTGATCACATTCGCCATATTTTTTAATGACATTGATATGGTCTAGTTTTAGAAGAAGCCAGCCAAGCTTACAAAGGTTAAATGCATCTCTTTGAAAATTCTGACATTATTGCTTACAGGAAGCCCAGATCTATGCAGAGGACAACAGCTTGCTGTTTATGGAAACATCAGCGAAGACAGCAATGAATGTGAATGAGGCTTTTGTGGCAATAGGTTAGTCAAGGGAAGGAGAAAGGCAGCTTGAGGAGGGTATCTTCTCCAACCACTGCCATGGGCTACACCAAGCAAACTATTTCATGGATAGTAATCTAAGTTCTCAAACACTTTTCAGAATTTTAATAATCTAAATTTGTGGTAAGTTGCAGGCCTAAGCAAAGGAAGATCTTTATGGTGTTGGGTAAGAGCATAGACTCTAAAATTGTAGCCTTGCACTCAGAAACTTGCAAGGGAGAAATAGAGACAAGACAGGAAACAGAGAAATTAATAGAAAGGTGGATATAAAAATAATGGGTTGAATGACAGACTGAGTCAAGGTAAAAAGGAAACATGGGAAGCTTGTAAACTATGGAATAAGAAGGTCCAAGGGCTGGGATAAAATGACTGTCTTAGCAATACATTTCCCTAAAGTGTATTTTAGGGAATATCCATCTCCCATTGAATTACAACAGGTACATTGGTCAGAATTAGCCAGGAAAAAACTGGTGATCTGAATAAATCTCTTCCCCACCAACCATTTCTTTGTACTTTTAACTTTTCCTGTGGAGTAAATTTAAGAGCCAGGGTTCTAAATATATCCTCCTCTCTCCCCTCAGCAAAGAAACTTCCCAGAAATGAACCACAGAGTGCAACAGGAACAGCAGGCAAGAATCTAAATGTCAGCCTCCAGGAGAGTACCCAATCCAGCAAGGGGCAATGTTGCAGCCACTAAGGATTCTTGTCTGGCAGCTCCAGTTGGAATGTGTCTGAATCAATTGCACTTGCAGAAGACCAGCTGCCAGGATCTTTTTTCCTTTCTCCTCTATTGAGATTTTTTACCTCATAGAATAGGGGAGAGGAGCACAGCAGAGGCCATTTCTCTTGTGAAGAAACAATAGATTTGTTTTTTTAAGAAGTCTTTTTTTAAAATACAGATGAACAACGGCACTCTTCTGGGTGGACAATGTGTGCTTTCAAAACTTTGGTCCTTCTTCCTTTCTGCCTTTTATCTTCTGAAGGGATTTATACTCTTGCACTTGCTCAGAGCTCCCTGGAAGAAGAGACATCCTTTCCCAAGACAAAATGTGTCTTCTATAACATCTGCTTGGTAAATTCCAAGCTTCTTCAGCTGATAGGGTTCTACCTTACAGAAAAGTAGAAGTTATAGTTAGGGGAGATTACATAAAATAGGAATGAGTTACAGAATTACTAGGCACATTATTCATTGAAATGACATACAAGCCTGTAAAAACTGTGTTACTGAAAACCGAGCGTAACCGTGAATTGATGCTGTAGTATTAATGATAGATTGAGAGAAACCCTTAGCCTCTAAGTTTTGTTTTGACCAAATTTGTAATTATGAATGTTTTTGAAGAACAATAGAAACCTGATATTCCTCTTTTGTATTATAGTTTCCAGCATTTAACAAATCAGTATCTTTTAATAACATATACCAATTAGTCCTTTATCCTTCTTAGGTTTCATTGGGCTTTTGGTATGCCAAATCTACATTAACCTATTATTTACTTATTGGATGTAATGCACTAATTCAGCCTGTTAAATATATAAAATGATAATTTTTTACAAGCAACATTATGCTATTAGTAACCCTATTAGGATGTTGGGTATCAGTGATACAGGTTGGTAGAGTGTATTCAATCAAGATGGGGAGGGAAGCAATGATAGGTATTTTCATATACACAACATTACCAATATTGGTAATGCAAAAGGGGTTTTGTTTCTGAGCTAGTGTCCAAGGCAATTTTTGTCTTATGCATATTTGTATTTAAGACTGTACATCAGTCTCTTCAATACAAAGCTCCAGTTGTGTATGAGTTAAAAAATAAATTTTTATAAATCAAGCGTGAACATACTTGAATCATTGTTTTTCAACATATCAGCTTACATAAATACTGGTAACTTTCTGAATTTAACATTTAGTTTTTGCAAGGGTTTTAGAATTTTATTTACCATGATTCCCTAAAACAATTGTTTTTGCAATCATTTCCTCATGAATATAATTGATGATTTAATGAGGGCTAAGATTAGAAAGGAAAATAAAAGATGGGTAACTTTCACCATATTTTTGATAGATCTTTAATTTTATTTGTTCTAGCATTCAACAAATACTTTGTTGAAAATTACCCATATATCACAAAGTGGCCATATCTTAGAAATAGCTCTGCTCAGACAATTGCTCCTATGCCTTTACTTTTCCAGGGCAAATTTGATCAGTTTTTATTTAAAAAAAAAACACCTACAACTCCACATATACATCAGTCTCCTAATTACTTGAGGATTATGAGCCCCAGTTTGAAAATTCATGCTTTACTGATTGGAGATCTGAGGTACTGTGTACAAATAGTGCTAATTTACATTGTTTAAATTCTCCACTAAGAAATGCTACATTATTTTATAAATATGAGAAATACATAATCCTTGCATATTGTCCATGGAAAATACTTTTCTGCTTTTAGAATTTCTATGAAAATTAAATTAGGGAGAAATCTAAAGAATGACAAGAGAATGACTGAAAGTTCAATAGGTTAAAAGGAACAACTAAAAAAAAAGTTATCACACAGCCCAGATGATGAGACTTATAGTTTATAGTCACATTCACTTAAAGTCATTTAAATGAACAAAGTGGTAAAATCCTCCTCTCAGACACAAGACTATATACTCTTGGATGGGTATTCATTTTCAAGCATCTTACAGATCTAAACATTAAAACAAAGCTGAAATGTACACAAAAATTACTGATAGTGCATTATGTCTATAATTGAAATTTAAACTATAAATTTTGTTAAATACTCATATCCTACAAAAGAAATCTAACCTTTTTGGAATTCATTCTATTTTACAAATGGATGAGATGTTCATTTACAACAGATATAAAATCTGAAAATTACAAAGGAAATAAAAAATATTTTACATATTTTTTCACTCTTCGCTGGTTCTATATTCATGGTTAGAAAAACAGCATTTGTATATTTAAAAAATACAATATGTTTCCCAGTAGACAGCAACCTTTTCCCATTAAAATCTATAGAAATACATTCCCCAGCATGCAATTGATGTCAGAGAGCATGCGCAATAGCGCTTAACACCATAGACAAAGGCCCCCTCCCAACTTCTGAACATGCTCAGTGGAGGCCACGCGCCCACGCCGTCCTGCAGGGTCTTGGGCATCATGGCGGAGACAGAGGTCTCGCAAACTACCCGGATCCCGCAGACAAGCGCTCCTTCCTCCGCCACCTCTTCTGCAGTTACAACGCCGTCGGTAGTAGGGGGAAGCGGAGCTGGAGGAAGCACCAGTGACCCGGTCCGTCCAGGATTAAGTCAGCAGCAGCGCGCGAGCCAGCGCAAGGCGCACGCGCGGAGCTTCCCGCGGGCAAAAAAGCTGGAAAAGCTGGGAGTATTTTCAGCATGCAAGGTACGGGGGCCTGGAGGAGACAAAAGAGTTTGGGACTGCCTTCGGGTGTATGGACCAGCCATCGTTGGATATTTTCTTCCAGACAAGATGCTGTAAACTTAAAAAACATAACCGCATGCAATTGTCTGCCAGTTCATGGGTTCAAGATTTTATTTATGGAACTAACCTGTGCTCTGGGCCCTTCTCAGTAGCCGGCTTTGGGATATAAAGAGTTGCTCTACAAATCGGTGGTTCTTTTGGCCTGTTCGCCTACTCTGATGGGCACTAGGTGGCTCTCCAAAATCTAGACAGGTCTTCTGCACCCATTCTAACGATTGTGCCTTGACAGCAGTAGTAGGAATTAAAAGCATGCAAATTTTTGCATGCAAGGTCTTTTGCTTACCTCCTCATCAATTTAAAATTTAAATCAATTTACTGGTTTTAATCGCATCCATCAAATGCTTCCCAGGTAGCATACCTGCCTTATGAACATACATTTATTTTGTTTAAAAGAGAGAAATTCTGTTCTTCATACGGTTTAGAGTTATCAAGATATCAATTGCCACGGGATTTGCAACCTGATACAGCAATAGCAATAGCACTATCCTTAGTTTTATACCATATTATTACCTTATTTGCCCAAAATATATTAAGTACACATTTAAAATACATTTTTAAAAAATCACTTCTGTGTGATTAGGAAAAAAACATCTATCACAGTTAGATTTGATTTTTTTTTTAAGAGAAGAAAACTAGCAAGCTGATAAAATATTTAAGAGGAAACAAAAGCATAGGGTAGGTTGTATAGAAGGCTTGATTTGCATATTCAACAGATTATAAAGTAATTTGCAGTATTTATAGTGAACATATCTTTGAAAATAGTTGCTGTGCCATGATGAGAATGTGGTGCCTTGGAGGTGGCATGGCTGCATATACACATCTCTCAGCATCCCCTTAAAGAAGTTGCATCTTTTCCTGACTTGCACAGTAGCATTGTACATCCCTACAGTACATATAACAATACACAAGAGGGTGACTGAACGTATACAGTAATAACAACCATTAGCAGAATCAAACAGGATGTTAACAGTATATGAAGTTGCATGCATTTTTCCACCTCAAGGAATATCACATTCATCCATTTTATCAGTGACAATATTATGAAGAATAAGAATAAGCAAGAATACATGTGGGAAATGAGAGAAATCAATTTCTGTTTTCTCAGAAAAGAGATACAAATGCTCTATGTATCCTTCTATAGTCTTTTTGTGTGGAAAGGTCATTTTTTAAAAAATAAAATGAAAAACAGAAACATCTCTCAGAAACATTTCTGCAATAATGCTGGAGTAATGAATGTACAATACAGATTTACTTTATAAAGTAGCTTTATGAGGCAGCACATAAAGATACACTAAGGGAGGAAAAATGTGACTTCTCCATATATTATTGGGAGACAACTCTTCCAGATCATTGCCTTAGTTAGCTAGAACTGATAGGGACTAAAGTCAGAATTATCAACAAATGTGATTTTTAAAAGAATCAGAAATGAGAAATTATACACAGGGAAGAAACATATCTATTTTAATATATTTTTATTTAACTGTATTAATTACATCAATTTAAACCCGTAGAATATAAATGTCTATGTAACTCAGTAAAAAATAAATATGTTCTCTGTAGAACTTATTCATAGAGATATTTGAAGTGTTCTTATCTCCTCAATGTACTTACAAAGCTGTCAGGTTCATGTTTGTTTTCTTAGTATTCTTAAATTATATTTCCTCCATAATATATAATGCTGCCATGTTTTGTATAGTTCAAGAAACTAAACACCCATAATTCACTGCCAGGAAGTCAGATAAATGCAATACCCATAGTCCTTGACTTGCAACAGCAATTGAGCCAAAAATTTTGTTGCTAAGCAAGATAATTGTTAAATTCCATTTTATGACCTTTCTTGCCACAGTTGCTAAGTGAATCAATTTAGTTGTTTAGTTAGTAACATAGTTGTTAAGTGAATCTGACTTCTCCATTGACTTTGCATGTCAGAGGATTGCAAAATGTGATCAAATGCCCTGAGTATATCACAACTGTCATAAATATATGCCAGTTAGCAAGCATCTGAATTTTGATCAAGTAACCATGGAGGTACTGCAACCTTCAGAAGTGTGAAAAAAGGGTCATAAGTTACTTTCTTCAGTGCTGTTGTAACTTTGAAGCTAGATTGTTCATAGACACAGTCATTGATTAATGATTACCTCATTTAGTTATTCACTGTTAAGACAGCAATGGAGAAAGTAAATTTGCAACTAAAGTCACCTTAACGATCTCTGCTGATCTGTAAAGCAAAGGAAAGTTGAAGTAAGATCATAAGCATAGTTATAGTTTCATTTAGTAACTGCTTTGCTTAACGATCAAGTAGTTGGTTCCAATTGTGGTTGCTAAATGAAAATGACAGTAATGCTAATATTAGTTTTTGTTGGTCATTGACTGTTATAAAGGTAAAATTTCATTTGATTAAAATGCAATCACTTTTTTTTAAATCACAGATTTCCTAATTCTTAGAATGCACCTCCAAAAGCTAAGCGTGGCTTGACCAATGAAAATGTTAACCTTTGTCTTTACTTTATGTGTTCAGTGGCTTAAGTTCTGCCTCTGTTCTTTTCCTCATCTCTGCAGGCTAATGACTCTTGCAAGTGCAATGGTTGGAAGAACCCAAATCCTCCCACAGCTCCCCGCATGGATTTGCAACAAACAGTCACCAATCTCAGTGAACCCTGCCGTAGTTGTGGACACACACTAGGTAGCTGCAGAGTCACTTACCATCCTCCAACACAACCTTATCTCATTGAGACTGAAATATACGGTTGACAGGAGGAAAGATTTTAAAATGGTGTCTACTATCAGTAGCACAGATGTGCAGCATAATGATTAGGGAAATATAGGATTTGAAATCTAGGCATCTGAAAGTTGAGTTACACTAATATACATACAACACTGCTAGCCAGATGAAAGATTATCTACTAGAGGAGGGGTTGCCAATGTTTTGGACCTCAGGGACCACCAAACTCATAATTTTAGATCCCAGGGACCTCTAACTGGTTCTGTGGGCATGGCCTAATTTGTGGGTGTGGCTTGGTGGTCATGTGACTGGCTGGGCATGGCTTGTATGTAAATATTATAAATAGGTATATAAATATTGATTTTTTTATAAAAAAGAGCACCTTTTACCCAAAATCAGGCAAAGCAGGCAGATTGAGTTGCTCACAGAATCACAGATTCATTCAGAGATCTATCTATCTGCCATTGGTTAGCTCAGTCTGTCACATAAAATTTGCTAGCAAGCAAACTCAGAAAATTAACTCACAAGACACCATGCATGCAAATATTGATTTTTTTATAAAAAAAGAGCAACT